AAAGTCTAACAAACAAAATATGAAATAAAAGTCATGGGCCCTACAAATGTCAAATTTATATTCATTTCACAAACCATAGGATCATGTATCATATCAAGAACAACTGAAAAAATAAAACAGGATACAAAAATGAGGAACTTCTTTTCTTCATGCATTAATTATATATAGAACTTCATGAATAACAAAAACACTAATTGATTAGTATGCTGATCTACTAGTTTAGGGGTCAGTTAATTTTTAAACAAATTAAGACTATTATTTGGTAGTGCTGTTGCCAAATGTCAATCGTTGGAAGACAAGCAAGTTTAGGGGTTTTTTCTTGGTCATAAAACACTTAAAGTGTCTGCAAATATAGAATGTATGATATATTTTTTGATGGAAAATCAAATTGATGTAACCCCAATTGTAAGTTATCACAATATGTAATCATCTAATCGGCACATTGATTGATGTCACGATTTATATGAGAAATTGAGCAATCCCAATCCCGGTTAAGGTGTTCTTTAATTCTTCTCAAAAGATGAGCATTCGGATAGGATAGTGATATAGGGCTAGTTAATTTTTGCACTACTAACAATGAGCCTGATTTGATTTGAATGTTTCTAAAGTCTCTATTTTTAGAGATGTTAACGGGTAGGGTATTTGTTAATTTTGAAATACCCGAACCCAAACACGATTAAAAAATGAAATATTCGAACTTGATAATTATTTGAATATTTTTTAAATTTATTATTTTAACCCAAACCCTATACATACCCACTATCCGATAATTACTCGAATTCATTTAAAATTTTATTTATGTAAAAAAAATTATAAAAATACTCTTCATGGATACCCAATTACTCAAACTCGAATCCATATCGGTATCTATATACAATAATATTTCTATCTATATTTCATATAATTCACTAATAATTAAATTTATAAAAACACATAAATAATAAAATTGAAATTTAAATAATCAAAAACAAATATCTCAAATATCAACTTAAATAATTAAAAACAAATATTCAAACAACAATTTAAACATTACAAGTTTAATTAACTATATGGGTTTGTCTATGAAATTAAAAAAAAAAGAACTAGATTCTAAAATTATTCTAATCTCACAATTTTTTTTAGGTATATATTTTCTAAGTTTATCTACACAAAAGTATATATCATAAACAATAATTTTATAAGTTATAATTTTTGTAATGTTAACACAAAATAAACAGTAAATATGTTTATATTTAAAGTATATATACTAAAAATACATATATAATAGTAATTATATTTTTTATAAATTAATATAATCTATAAAATATAAGTATTAAAAGATATTATAAGGTAATTAATAATCATAGTTTTATGAATTAATTTAATTAATAATGTTAGTTTATCTTTAATTATATGAAATTAAATAAAATATAATCGAGTTTGGATATCGGATACTCAATGGGTACTCAAACCCTACCTGAACTCGATACGAATGGTAAAATCACTATCCAAATTCAATTATAAGATATACTAATCTTATATAATTGGATTAGATACTCACAAATATCTTGTAACAGGATACTCATTACTATTTCTACCTATTTCAGCATCCCTAATTGAGTTTTACTTTGACCAAACGAGCCCTGCAATAAAATATAGCAGGAAAAGCAGATATATTGAGGGCAACAAGGAACACGTTTTTGTTAGGTTAAGCAAATTTATGCTAGAGTGTTGGACCAGCAGGATGCCACTTGGATAGCATTCTGTTTAAGCCTTAAGCCTTGTTGATTAAATCTTAATAATTTAATTAGAGGTTGCTAATCGTCATTTTCTCGTGGTTAAGAAAAGGACGAATGACCCATGACATATTTCTATGTAAAAAAATAACACAAATAATTTCTCCATGCTGGGAGGATGGGAGGATATGTATTATTAAAGATGATTACAGGACCCAAAAAAAGATTAATTACTAAAATAAACACAGAAACAAAAAGGAGGTGTATATTATTTAATTGAACACGTTTCCCATGTTTGCCAAAAGTGAATGGTTCAAAAGGTTAAAAGCTGCTAAAGGTCTCCTCTTGGTGGGCCAAATTAACACTTAAAAAGGCTTTCAATTTCTCTGATTACTGATCACTTTGGTTTAATAATGCAAAAGGTCGATGGCGGTGAACAGTACATTCTCACGTGTATATTACTAAAAGATAAACAAATTAAACATGTCCCTACACTACTTCACCATACACATTATTTTATTTATCTCGTGGGTCAAAAAGCTGCTATTAAATATCCATCACTCCTGCATTTCCGAAATCTCTCTCAATTCTCATCAATTTTTTTCTTCTCATCTTTGTCTCTCTGCGTAGTCCTCCGTTCATTGTTCTGTAAACAGCAATGGTTCTGAAACCTAGGAGCCCCTTCAAGCTGGAAGGAGAGAGTGAGGAGGGCAAGAACAAGCCTGCATATGCGAGCTCTACCAAGAGCTCACCGGTTGTTGTTGGGTTGAGAATCCTTACACAAATTTCGCAGGGAAAATCTAATGTTGTTGTTAAATCTGCATTGAAATTTAGCCTTCCCACCTGTAAAAAGCATCATGGCCATCCCGACGGTGGGTCGCCGGCTGACCAATCTTGCTTTCTCAAATCATGTCATCTATGCAACAAGAACTTAAGCCTAGATAAAGAAGTTTACATGTACAGGTAAACAAATTTCATACCATAATTGTATACTTATGTATAGAAAAATTCTTTTGGGGCGTTTATAACATATATAGGAAGGATTCAGATCATGGTATATGGTTAAATTCTGGCTGTTTAAGCAAAGTGTAAATTTATTATTTTTGTATGCTAAATTCTGATGGAATTTATGTGATTTTGCAGGGGTGACCAAGGCTTTTGCAGCATAGAGTGCAGGGACAGGCAAATTGTTTTGGATGAAATGAAGGAACTCGAAGTATCTACTAAACAAATGCTGGGATCTTATAGGCACTGTAGCTCCTCCGGCCTCCGTGAGACAAGCGTCCTTCTAGAGGATCTCCGCCGGAGAAATAAAGCACCTCATCAAATCCGAAAGCATTGGGCAATAGTCTCATAATAATTCACTAAGTTCATATATATATATATATATATATATATAAAGCCGAAGCTAATGCAGCAGAGGGGTGTATTTGATTATCGGATCGAGATTTCTTTTCTATAAAAGAGAAGAAAGATTTTCATATCATATATACAACTTTTATTTCCTTTGTTTTTCTTGTTCAAATTGTGAGATGAGGAATTACAAGATAATCGATTGATGATGTAAAATCAAAGACAAAAGCGAGCAGCCTGTGTATTTTTGTGACGGGTCGTTTTAGACAACAAGGGATAAATATAAATCCAAGGCTAGGCATTATACATATATATATATATATATATATATATTTATATATATTGGGTTCAAAATTTGTAAGATAGGTATCGCTACTCATGCTTGCCCATCACTGTCCTCATTTTGTCCACAACAATAAAAGCCGGTTACGGCCAGTGTGTCTTTGTTGGATGCAGCATTGACATTAAAGTTTAGATGGGGCTATATATCCTACTAGATATTTTGCCCTTTTTCATTGTCAATATACTTTGATTTTGGCACAAGATGTCCACAAGGGAAGTAAGTCTCATGGATTTTGGAGTGTTTTGAGATCCTATTCCTGCCTAATGAACTGGATATGGAATATGGACGATGCTATATATCTTGGCATTTTCTTCTGTGGTTTAGGACTCATCACTTTCGATTGTCAATTGTCATTGTCTCGAAGGTGCCATTTCAATCAATTCAATTCCCACTCATGGATTTTAATTAAGCTTCTTAATATAATTAAACATTAATCTTAAAATCAATGATTGCCAAGTAAGAATATGTATTTTATGCGAAAATTAAAGTAATTTATGATGAAATTTTTATATTCTAACATTGACAAAAATAATATTGAAAAAATTTACGAGTTCAATACAAGGGGGAATGGTTAGAATTTGGAAAATTTACTAACACTGAATATATTCTTCTATAGTCATTACTCTTACATATATTTTTTATGATTCTTGATTGATTTTTCTTAATCCAAATCATCTCTTAAAAGGTCGTTCAATTATCTTTCAGTTGTTTAGGCTATAAGCGATTATATGTTTTTTTTAAAATTTTATTATCTTAAGAAAAATTAATGGATTTTGTTAAGTATGCTTTCTCCATTATCTCAATTTTTACAAAATAGAGATAAATTAATAAATGATAGCAAGACACAATTATGAAGCAAATGATTTTGTTCATAGAATACTTGTTATAGTTCTCATTATCTCTTTTAACAGTTGGGAGGAGACCTTTCTTAGAGTGGGAGATTGAACAATGGAAGGAGTTGAATGGGCTATTTGAAAATCACTAAGTGGATGACGAGTACACGGTAAGCCTTAATGGGCAGTACACAGTAAGCTATTTTTGCAAAACTATCATGGAAAGGCTTAGGATTGCTAGTGAGCATTGGAGGATGGTTCGGAAGGGAGTTGCCCCTTTAAAAGTTAAGGTGTTTTGTTGGAGAGTTTTGAGAGGCTGGGTAACGGTTCGAGCCAAGTTAGTGAAAAGAGGCCTCTTCAGAACCGAGCTTGCCTTTTGTGTCTTATGTAGAGAGAAACCGGACTGTTGATCATCTCTTTTTTGGATGTCTTGAAAGTTGGAAGATTTGGATAGGGTTGGGGAGTCATTAGAGAGTCCAATGGGCGGGGTTATCAAAGCTTATCAACTTCTTTCTCGATTGGAATGGTCTTTTTAGAGTAGGTGACAAAAAAGTTTGGAGACTTGCGTTCTTGGCCACGATTTGGACTATTTGGTTGATAAGAAACAATATCATTTTTCAAGGTAAGGTGAGGGACGGTGAACAATGCTTGAACTTGGTCAAAACTAAAGTGGCATGCTGGGCCTGAGCCAAATGGCCACTAAAGTACAATCATGTTGAGGTTATGCCAAGCAGTCTAGTAACAAGAACAATGTCCAAAGGAAGGACCAATGCACGGCAAGTTGAGTGGAAGCCCCCGATGAGTGGATGTTTAAAATGCAACATTAATGGCGCTGCCCGAGTGGACTTAGGTCTGGCAGCTATTGGAGGGGTATTAAGAGATGAGGTCGGGACAGTCAAAATAATGTTCTCTAAAGCAGTAGAGGGTGATGATGCTAATAGAGCAGAAATTCTTGCTATGAAGGAGGCTTTTGAGCTTTTTGGTGCTTCTCAGTGGGCAAGCTTACATGATCTTGTGGTTAAAAGTGATTTAAGCAATGCAGTTATATGGACATAGAATCCAGAAAAAGCCCCATGGAAACTAAGGAAAAATCTGGTCGGAATTGGAAGGCTAAAGAGAAGGGTGGCAGTTTGGAATACTGTGAAAATCCCTAGAGAAGCCAATGATATAGCTGATGAACTTGCCAAATCGGGGATGCAGCGATCATGAACTACTTGTAGATGCTTGGGCAGTGATGCAAAAGCTATTAGCAGGAGGTGATTGGGCAAGCCCATCTCTGTGTTTTCTTAACTTTTAACATCTTTTAGTTTTTATTGTATGTCTATTTTGCAGCAAGTCCATTATCGAGAGTTGACGATGCCTCATTAATGTTGGATTATTGGTAAGTATAAGGACAAAAGAACAAAAAGAGAGAGAGAAAATAAGAAAAGGAAAAAGGAAAAAAGGAAGAAAAATGAAAATGGAAAAAAGGAATGAGAAAAAGGGAAAAACAAGAGAAAGAAATGAAAAGAAACCTTTATTTTTTATTGTAAGGGTCTTTTTATTGAACAAATCGATTGGCTACAATGAATGTGATTTACTGAGGTAGCATTGTGTTTGGTAGGGGAGGGAGACACTAATGTTTGGCAGGGTGAGTAGTGTCAACTCATTTTTTGGAAAAGTCTTAGGCCTAAACATAATAGGAAAAATAAGTTGATATAAAAAAAGAAAAGGAAAGGAAAAACCAAAAGAAAGTGATGGAAAATTGAAAAGTAAAAAAGAAAAGGAAAAAGAAGAAAAAGAAAAAGAAAGAAAAAAGAAGAGGAAAACGAAGAAAAGAAGGATGTAAGAAGAGAAAATTCGCAATAGGAGAAAAGTGAGTGAGTTTACAAACAATTGACTCACTCTTAACCTTCCCTTTTTGGAAAGTCAATTGATGATTGCTTCTGCAGTGGCAGAGTTTGTTTTTATGTAAGTTGCTATTTACTTCGATTTTGAGCACAATGTTGTGTGTTATGTTGATTAGAGCTTTTAAGTTCTTTATTTTGTAAGTCGACCGTCCCCCTTGAGTAGCAGATCTCTACTAGAATTTGTACAGCTTTAATGCCATGATGAGTATTTCAAAATTAAAACTTAGAACTTGAAATGGCATTTTGGATTTCAGATCAATAAAAATCACTTAAACAAAATGGTATTATCAAAAAAAATATGAATGGATTACTAATCATCATCATCGATGATAGAGTCAGGATTTTACGTTTGAGTGAAGACATTATCTATAAAACAAACATATTAAAAGTTCAATATTTGACAAAAATACAAAGTAACTTAGATGAAAAAAATTTATATGAAAATTATACCAATAACTTCAACTACATGTTAAATACAAAATAAAGATATTTTCAACAACTATTGCATACTAAGATTGGGCATATTTAATTAAGCTCAACGATCTTTTCTAGAGTTGAAAGCATCTATTATTGAATCAATGTCAAAGTCTTGAATGATTTCCTTTTCAATAAAAATTATCAACAAATTTATGAGAAAATCATCTAACATTTTATTACGAATCTCATTTTTTACGAGTTTCATAGAAAAAAATACACATTCTAATATTGCGGTGGAAACTAAAAGAATCAAGATAAGTCAGATCAATTCCTGAATAAAGAAGTAAACTTTTGATATTCTCGTCTTTTTCAATAATTGATATAATTCAAAAAGTGTAGATATATTTTTTAAACTTGATTATAAAGAATGTTAACGTTTGAATAGATCCAATTGATAATTTAGATTCATTTTATTATACTTAGTAAAGACATCAAGGTAATATTTATTTGTAAGGTTGCAAATACTTTCAACTTTAAATGACTTACAATCATTTTGAAAGTATAAAGATATGCAAAAGTAAATAAAAAATTATTATAAGGATAAAATTATAAAATTTCAAAATCATAAAAATATATTATAAAATTTTAAAATTTTTATAAAAATGAAATTATAAAATTTTTTTAAAAATAAAATAATTTATAAAAATTTTAAAATTGTTTGAGAGTGGGGCCACACTAGTCCCCTCCCCTCCGCCTCTGACCATCATCACATATTCATGGTCCTAAGAATCTAGGCCCCTTGATTGATCCCATCACAATTTCAATCTAGGCCTTCTTTCTTTGGGAAAGCAACTTCATTGAATCTTCCAATGGAAGAAAATACATGGGAATTAAAATCGATTTTCATTGTCAAAAGAACTGCATCTCCCCGATGTACACTAACATTACTCCAATCCAACCCAAAAGACTAGGCAAAACTGTCCACCTTCCCTAGACTAAATTGCGCCTAAGCATATAAAACTGGAAGCAGATGAATTCACAATTGCTTCCCATGTCTCTAGTGAAGTGGAAAAGATGGTGGTGTTAGCAAATTCTGGCAATCTTCTCTCAGATGATATCTATTTCTCAGCCCTTATTGACGATGAAGAAGTGTTTCCATTATCCGATGAGAAATATACATTTGAGTTACAGTTGCAAGAGGTTTTAGTGTCCTCAGCAATCTTTTCCAGTGTGCCAACTGGCTCGACAGACTTGCAGATGTGTCAGCATTTCAACTTTAGGAAAGGCAGCCATAAAGGAAAAGAGAAAGAAACTGCCGATTCTTCGATTTCTCAAACGCAAGGCGGTTCATGTCTTATTTGCATGGATGTAAAACCAACAGGACAGATATTTACAAGCAACAGTTTCACCCATTTGTTCTGCACTAACTGCATTGGAAACCATGTAGCCGCAAAAATACAAGAAAATATATTACTAATTAAATGCCCTGAGTTGAACTGTAAAGGTTCTCTAGAACCGCAATTTTGTCGCTCAATTGTTCCAGGAGAAGTGTTTGATCGATGGGAAAATGCCCTTTGCGAGTCATTGATTCTTGGGTCCCAGAAATTTTACTGCCCTTTCCAGGATTGCTCTGCTATGTTTGTGGATGATGGAGGGCACCATGTGGTTGAATCGGAGTGTCCAAATTGTCATAGGTTGTTCTGTGCAAAATGCAAGGTCGCATGGCATGCTGGAATCTCATGCAGTGAGTTTCAAAATCTGAGTTAAGGACGAGAGGTCAAGGGAAGATATCATGATCATGGAGGTTGATAAGTAAAAATTAAGCGGAGGAGATGACCCAACTGCAAGATTTATGTGGAAAAGATTCAGGGCTGCTTGCACATTTCATGCGAGTTACAGTTTTTCTCCTCCTGCTATTTAAAACAGCAATTTTGGGTCTTTGAATTGATCATAATATAACTCAATAACCAAATGTGTGGTTTTTACAGGTATGAATTTCATTAAGGATCCCTTTGGGATCAAATTCGCGTATGCAGATAAGTCTAACAAGGGCCATCATCAAGAACAAATTTTAGAAGCTACCTGGTCTAAGTTCTACACATATTTTAGTCGTCTCATTTGTCCTTTTCGTAACTCTTGATGGCAAATTAGAAATTGTTTTTTTTTTTAAATAAAGGGAGTATATTGTACCTGAAATTCTTTTTCAAGCCAATCAAAAACATTGATGTTGAACAAAATCCCAAGGGTTTTTTTTTTCTTGGGAGTTGGTATAGTTAATAAGGAAATGAAATTGACAACGAATCATCAAAAGTTTATGCCTCTTCATCAGAGAGTGGGTTCTCAAATTCACTCTCACTACTCAGTCTCAAATCATCATTAGTAACAGCTGAGACCTTGGCTATAGCTGATTCAGAATTGCTAAAGGGATCATACTTAAAATACTTGATCTTCTCCTTTTCTGCAATTCCATTCCCTTTCTTTTTCGTCCTGGAGCTACCTAGCAACCTCATTGAATGTGCCGCAGCCGTAAATGCAGCTGTCAAAGATTCATTTTTCATATTATTTTCTTCATCTTCTTTACTTCTTTCCCTTGGTTATCAAAGTAA